AATTTAGAGTTAACGTATAAATACTCCTCTAACTGATATTTTCTGCCGTGAGGGCTGCGATGTGATGACATCTGATACTAACTCGCTCCGGAAGCGCCTGTGTAATCCGTCATTCCGTACATTCATTCCCACAGGGAAGGAAAGGGTGCTTTCCGATGAAAGCCATTTGGTCTGAAAAAAATAAGTGGTATGAACATAATAAAAGGAAGAGAGAAACGTTAGGAGAAGCAAGCATGTCGTTTGCGTGGAGTTGGGCGTTGATCCAAGACGCGTTCCAGCATGAATGAAGTGTCTGACGGCAACAATTCCACGAAAGACTACTACAACGGCCGCCCCTACCTACTACCAACTCCGCATGGCGATGGGGGCGAGGCGGCGAGCCCGCGAAAGCAGCCCCAGGCGAAATAGCCGCTCATTTCCTCGAAGACCTACGTTTTTCTACTACGGACCTATATTTTTGTAGTGGAAGGCCGTTCTCGAACAACGCGCAAGCTAAATACAAAAGGAAAAAAAAAATTGTTTGCCTTGGATGAGCTACTGCGAAATTCAGAGCTGTACCGGTTCTGCTGGTTTGCTACGCTCGGCGAACGGGAGATTAAAAAAAGAGAGGAGAGAACGAGTGACGTCATTCTCTTTCTCCTTATCCCCTGGCGGCCGTCCAGAAGAGTCATTTCAAAAATGAGCCGTGCCCCTGCGCGCCGCTCAGTTTCGCATCCGACATGGACTTCGACGAGTGGCGGACGTTGACGACGATGGTGGACGATGAAAACGATTTCTACGTCGGTGGTTCTTCGGCGGATCTTCTGAAAGTTGTGGATCTCGAAAGTCTCGAGGTGGGTTCCGTCTCGTTGTTCGCGACTTTGTTGTAAACAGGTTTTTTTGTTTTTAGTTTTGTAAAACGGTAGCGGTTTTGTGCGCGTCCGGACGTGCCGCGCGGGCGGGGGTTAGCAGACGACGTGATTGCCGTCATGCGCTGCAACGATTTTTTGTTCTTTTTCCGAGAAGGGTTTGCCGTCTTGCATCACCGTTGCCTTTCCGGTGTCGAGTAGCTATGGGCACGTTGAACATTCTTGAACGCCGGCGTTGTCATTAGACCCTGGGTGTTCTTTTGTCTCCGCAAATCCGAAGAAAATCGGATCGACTTGTGGACGTCTCGTCGGGGGTTCGCTTTGCGACGTTCGCGCAGCTGCGCGCTCGCGACATTCGCCGTTGTGAACGATCAAGTCTCGTTCGTCGACCTTATTCATTGTGGGCCTAGACAACAGCAGCACTTGTTGACGGTTGCACCAGGTAGGATGACTTTCTCGATCGTCTGTTTATAAACCGAGGCATCCACAACCCTCGTCTTTTTTTTTTTTTTTTTTTTTTTTGTCAATCTTTGGAGGTTGTTGTGTTAAGACGGGCGAGCCGTCTGACCCTCCCTTGTTTCCTTTGTGTGGAGGACAAACTGCTTTTCCTGGAGATGACCTTTTTTTTTTCTCTCTTTTTTTTCCCTTCGTACGTTGCCCTTGAAAGCCCTGATTTGGAAACCACTGCGCCTGTCTAGACAACAGTCGCCCAGTCTGCCACAGCGTCATTTTTTTTTTTTTTTTTTTTTTTCACAGAAAAAGAAGTGATCGTGAGAATGGTACTTATTTTCAACCGAGAGATGCTGATGACTACAACGAATGGAAATCTCACTGGTTGATCGTAGATACAATACATGCATTTGCTCGACCCCGATCTCAAATCGTCTCTCTTTTCTTTTTTCGTCTCGGACGCAAAGGCAATCTCGTTTTTTTTTTAGATAATTTTAGTTAACAGACGATAAAATAAACGATTAGATAGCCGGGTTAATTGCCGCTCTTCCAACGTATGGACACCTTCAAGGATTTTTGGGGACGCGCCGTGTTTCGACGGGTGCGGGACCTGTCTGGACTTGTATCGCTCGGACGGCGATTGCAATCTCGCCCTATCTTCGCGCTTTATATTTTTATATATATATAAAATTTTGGGCTTTCTCAACGTCTCCGTATTGAAACCCTTTCTGCAGTAACGGGAGATCGGTGGTACCAGGGTCAGCAAGCCAAGTTGCCGTCGAATTAGAAAATTGTTTTATCTCGATGGATGGCAAACCTATGCGACAGCTCGAGCCGATACGGCCGTCGCGATAGCGGTGCCTAGCCGACGTCACACTGACGTACTCTTTTTTTGCAGTTGCACGTTTCCGAACGCCTCACGCGTCACTTCCTTTTTCTAGCGCTCTTCAAATACAGACAGCATTTTTTTTTCTTCTTTTGCGCTGTTGCAAAAAAAAATTGCTTTTGGAATGTCGCACATGCGATTGCTCGCTGTTTTCGGAAGGGTGCAGCGAACCACTTGGGTACCCTGGGTGCGGGAGTTGGAAGAACACCCCGGATGTATCCATCGCGTACCCGTACGGTTTTTTTGCCGCACCTGTAAAAGCGAGGAATGCTTCGTTGTGGGTTTCCGCCAGCTGTTTTTGAGGTTTCTGCGGCTCGGCAGCAGGCGTCTCTTGTGTTTCAATGCACATCCATTAAAAACAATTTTATTTCTGCCTGCCTTTGTTCTCTGCGACTTTCCGGTCTCCTTACTCGCAGGATTCAATTCCGCAGACGCTTTTGACGCTTTGCTTCCGATTCGTTATCGACTTGCCTCGGGCTGCTTGGTTTGAAAATACAGGGTGTCACAAAAGAAATTTTACGCGGTCTTTTTTGCTGCAAAAATAAACTAGGCACTGCCGTGCGCTCATTCTCCACCCAAAGGTAGAGAGCTAGAGGTCATAACCAGATGCCAAAAGTTTCAGCCCGATCCGATGACTTAATCAAAAGTTATACGTGATTTTCTAAAAATTTCAGTGGGGAAATGGAGGCCATTTGTGCCCGTTTTCGGTTTCTGGTGCCATAGGGCCCCTTGTGTTTGAAAAGTCTGTCTTGCCATTTTCCCATTTAAATTTTAAGAAAATCGCTTATAACCAGTAGCAGTCTGCTGCACATGATGCAATCTCAGCAAGCATTTGCACGCTTCCTGGACGCCTCATTAACTGCCTATTCAAGTTGTGCATTTTTTTTTTTTTTTTTTTATTCTTCACCTGAATGGTTTCAAGTTGTTCCTTTTCAAGGAAGAAATTTAAGGTTCAGTCCGGCTGTGTTTCCATAAACAGCTGCCCTCTAGCAACCCCTCTCTTACCCCTTCCCTAATGTTTTGTGTATCTGTTCACTTCGATTTCTAACATGGGTTGATTTTCTCCATCTGCTTGAATGCGCATTGCTGAGATAGTGCGACCATCTCTGGTGCACATAGTCTTTTTTTTTGCCTCATTGGGGCTCAGTATGCTGGCTAATATCTTAAAGAACTTTCAAACAAATATTCACTTGCGAAAAGAAAAAAGGCATGCACAATCTTGGATGCCACCTTAAACTATGCTTTTACCGGCAGGAGTCCGACTACTACACATCGTTCACCCTTAAGCCGAGACTGCAGCAAATGCCACAAGCACGAGAGTTTAAGGTTGCTGCTTTGAAGCGTTTTTTCTGCAGAATGAGCACTTTTGCTAGAAATGTACGTCTCAAAACCAGGAGCGCAGGCTAGCTCACTCTAGGAGCTTTGGCTGCCGTCTCAGCTCATTGGTGAACAGAGTATAACACGTCACATGCACAATTCTCTTTGTGTACTGGTGGTGTGTGGTGCCATGGGTACAATTCTCAATTTGTGGGGCAAAAATGTTTTTTTTTAAATTTTTTTTTTAAATTGGAGCTCTGTCGTTATGATACAAGATACTTGGACTCGTGTTATAACCTTAACATTAAAGGGATACTACAACAAAATTTCGGCGCTCATTTTTTGGTCTATATGTGTTCAAAAAAGCAGTATCACATGGAACATACCAATATCTTGTTAAAAAAGTCTCGAAAAGGAATTTTAAAACGAATTAAACGATTAGCAAAGAGCACCTGGTGGATGTCGTTAACGCCTCGTTTGTAATGCTCGTCTAGGAACCTTGACAGCTAGTGACGGAGGTTGTCTCGTCTCCGGCCACGACGAGAGATGGGGGGAAGGAGGACCTCCCCTCTTCCCGAGAATCCCTTTTGTGTGTCGCAGAAGTCGCTATTGTCCCCCTAGAAGATTATAGAAGATTAACTTGTCACTCAAAATTCGCACAAAAGCAGCCGCTTCGGTGGCTGGAACGACTAGGCCATCCTCTCGACGTCAGCCTCGCCATAGCTTTGCTCGTTTCGAGACGACCTACGTCACGATTGCGTCGGATGTCACATGCTCTAAGCTGGGCCTTCTCCGAGCGCTTGCCAGACAAGGCCGTTTATAACGAAAAATACAGCCACCAGGATCAAAATACAAACGTGCGATTGTCATTTACGGATATTGTGGATCATATTCAACCTATTTTTGAACACGACGGGAATATTTCAAATTTTGTTGAAGTATCCCTTTAAGCTTTGGCAATCGCTCCGGTGTCGTTTTCACATTATTGTAGTAGAATCGGAACCTGAAGTTTCTGAACCAAATGCCACTAAGATCACCTTCCCAAATACAAGTAACAGATTTATCCCCGTTTTACAAATCTAGGAGGTACTCTCCAGTGTCCACCAAGAGCCATTAGCCTACCTCCTGGCTGTAGATGTCAAAGCACGGAAATATTTGTTGCACGTTTATTAAGGAAACGGGAGGAATGGTTTTATTGCCAAGTTTGTTGTCAGAATGAGTTTTGTATGGACAAGATTTGTGGTACACATAATTTAATGCATGTCAACAGTTCACTGATACATGTGACACGGGTGAACAGACCAACAGGTTTGCGGCACAGACCTGTACTCGCCAACCACCAACCATGAGATGTCGTGCTCGGTAACCCCTTTCTCTAATGATGCTGCCAGTTAGAACAGCCTTAAGAGTGGTAGAACCCAAGTAGATCCAATTACAAGCAGAGCCGTGGCACAGATTTTCACCGACCGTAACTGTTCTCTTTTTTGCCTTCCGCGCAGTTCTCTGGCTTCGGCGGCCTCACCTCGGGCATCCCGACGCGCACAACGGCCACTCTGACGCCGACCACGCTGAAGAACATTGAGGAATCCTTTCTGGAACTCCAGTCCGTGCCCCCGGCGCCCATGGAGCATCAGCACCAGGCGGGGTTCGTGCCTCCGGTGGTGAACATCGCCCAGTACCAGCAGCAGCAGCAGCAGCACCATAGCAATAGCTTGGGCCAGGGTTCGCCGTGCGTCGTGGTGAAGCAGGAGGTGGAGGAGGACTGGCTGCCGGCCTGCACGCAGCAGCAGCAGATGCAGATAATGACAGTGCACTGTGGGAGCAGCGGCGGCAGTGTGGGCAACAGCGGCAACGACGGTTCCCGGCACTCGAGCGGAGGTGCCACGGCGTCTCCGCCGGTCCAGGAGAAGTCCAAGCGGAGTGGCGGAGGACGCAGGCCCAACAGGAGCGAGAAGGTATGGATTTCTCGCTGTTTCTCTCTGTGGGGGAGAGGGTCATGTCTGTGTGGTACGGGGGGAAGGCGGCGAATTTCGCTCGGTGGCGTTTTCAATGCGTGTGACCTCGGAACGGTGGCTCTTGTGCCCACGCACAGAGCCAACACAGGGCAAAGATTTTTGTGTTTTCTGCCGCATATTTGCTTTGTGGAGTTTAGCCTTTATGCGTGTATCAAGAATGTAGGTGCCTTCGACAGACCGGTATTAGGCAAACAAGACACTAAATTAGTCACTGACAGCCAAAGAAATGCAGGGTATGAGTCATTATCTTCACCAACAATGCAATTGCTGCTCCATTTGCACCAGGCTCGGTCAGAGCTTGGTTTGCGGCACTGCTCAGAGATGGCAGCACACATGTTTTATTGTGCACGTTTTTAAAGATGGCGACCAATTGTGGAGATGCGTGCAACACATGCAATACAAAGAAAATTTAAAATCAAAAACTATAAAACAAAACAGAAAACAATGGCTGAGGAATTAATATTGAACATATAATAAATCGGGCCCTGCTACATGACCAGATCGTAATGATAGGCTTGTGGAAATTTTCAGAACTTTATTTTCACTTCAAATAGCATCATATTCAATTTGAATGCTCAGTCAAACATTGACAGTACCGGGAAGGGACGTTTTGCAACGTTTCTCATGCTTGTCGCCTCTTCTGGCTGGATAGCTTGCATCATTGACTGCAGTTGTCACCGTGCAGCGGTGTACTCTGGTGAAGCGACAACTGCGCAGTCGGCGTCGTCATTTTGCATGTCTTGCTTCATCGCAGCACACCCGTGTGCCAAGGGAAAAGCAGTCCTCTGGAGCACGACTTTACACGCGGTTTTTGAGTAAAACTGTACTAGGGTATATATGATAGGCCACTATAGTGTGACAATCAAGATATCTTTTTGATAATCAAGATTCATCAAGGATATTTGACTATTGTGAGAAAGCTTTTATGGACTGGTCAATATGTTTATTTTTTTATCTTAACTCTCATTTAATTATTACCTTTATATAGGTTCCATTCGTTTGATGGCACGGTGAATTAAAATTAAATTAGCTGGAGCATCAGTTGCAAGCCTGAAGTTCATATAAAATATCATTGACATTTGTAATCAAATAACAAAATATTTGCTATTTATCTCAATTTAAAGCTGCAGATTTATTACAACTTTCGTACTGGGATCTGTCCTACGATCTTGTGACATTCACTGTTTCAAGCTACGCCTTGTACCCAGTGGCCTTACAGCTTTCGGCAAGAGATCCCTACGAATTTGCTAGGCATTGAATCAATCATTTGACCAGTTTTGGTCTTCGAACCCAGGATTGCTATGCAAAACGCCGCGACCATTTCAATACATAACAATCTGAATTCATTTAAGCGTTTGGATAGCTACAACATTATTTGGAAGTTTCGAGCGTGCCGAATGCGTCGACTTGAAGGTTTTGGCTCACCTTGCTTGCAGTTGAGCCCGGAGGAAGAAGAGCGGAGGCGGGTCAGGAGGGAACGCAACAAACTGGCGGCTGCTCGATGTCGGAAGCGGCGCATGGACCACACCAACAGCCTGATTAAGGTGAGACCTGTCCCTGAGTTGCGTCGCTGTCTCCAATCCTCATATCAGCATGTCTACCCTTCCCGAGTAATTTAAAATAACATTTCATCGTTCGTGATTTGTGTCCTTCCCACAAGTCTAAACAGAGGTTGCAACTTTCGGTGCCAGAGTGTGACATAGTTGATTCGAATCAGCGAGTGCCTATTTTCCTCGGTACTTTGAACCGACGAGCTTTTATCGAGACAACTAGAGTGATGAAAAGTGCTCGCTCAGGGCACTATCCTCTGTCGTAAATCCTCTGTCGTAAGGTACAGGGCTTGTGTCGTTCTTTCGCTTCATTGTATGCACCTCGACGTTTGCAGGAGACGGAGGGCCTCGAAGACAAGCGCAGTGCCCTGCAGTCCGAGATCCAGGCGCTGCGGCACCAAAAGGACGAACTCCAGTTCCTCCTCGAAGCCCACCGCGCCACCTGCAAGGAACTCCACCTCCGCGCCTCCAACACCACCGCGTCGTCGTTACCGCCGACCAGCCAGCAGATGACCACCGGTCACGCCCAGTCCCAGCAGCAGCAGCAGCAGCAGCTTCGTCAGCAGCAGCAGCAACAACAGCAGCAGCAACAGCAGAGCCCATTCCGCAGCCACCAGCTTCAGCGGAAGCCCTCGTCACCAGGCCGCGCCGCTCCCAAGTTCCCCCGGCCGACGTCGCTGGCAGTCTCGTCAGCGTTCACGAACTCGGACGGCACAAGCGCCCTGGGCATGGCGTCGCATGTGTCGAGCGAGGTGGCGGGGGTGCCCATCCAGACGCCGTCCGCGGGCATGTTCAGCTTCGAGTCGCTGGTGGAGGGCACGGGGCTGACTCCGTCGGGGACCACGCCGCTTGGCTGCTTCAACTCGCCAATGACGTCTTGCGCGGGCCAGCAGCGCAGCTCTAGCAGCGACCTGTCCAGTCCAGACACCATCAACCCGCCCAAGCTGGTGTCACTCTGACGGCCGGAGGAAGGCCGGTGTCGCACCGTTCCGCCATAGGCACGTTTCGCAGGGACTCGGCGCACGGAAGGCTGCCCGTGCCAGTCTGTAAACCCTTTTTTTTTTTTTTTTTTTCACTTTAGGGTTTGGTTTTTGTGCATGCTAAGAAGGGGTCACTGCACGATTGCGGTTTGTGCGCAATTCTAGTTTGTGTCCGACTCCGGTTTGTGTTCAACGCTGTTTTTTTTCTTCCGATATCCGGTTTGTGCATTGGACTTTCTAGAAAAAATTATAATTGTCTTTTTTTTTCTTCGTTCAAGGTCTTACTGGTGGATCTGTTTCGACGGCACGTAGGTGGTTTATTTCGAAAATTTAGGCCAAGCATACTTCATGCGTTGGAAACCGCACCACGGAAAACGCGAAAGCACACTGGTGCAAAGCTGCGTCGGTCTTGGTTTGAGGCTGCGTTTCTACCTGGCATCTTCTGCATGTCCTAAAGAGAGTTTGAATGCTTGCAAGCATGGTCCGTGCTTAAAAACGGTGGCTCGAGCAGTTCTACATTAGTACTCGATCGTTCCAACCCAGGTGCACAGAGACCTTGTTGTGGATCTTGTCAGAAAAATCCACTTCAATGCAACATAGGCTCTTTTTTTTTTTTTTTTTTTTTTTATTGCCGTGGGGATGGGCGTTTTCAATGTTTCCTGTTTTTGCACCGGTAGGAGATTTGGAGGAAGCCTTTAATGCTGAAGATCAGTGAAACAAGCCCAGTTTAAATGGATCTATGGGATGTCCCATTTTACATCCGGCACAGAAGAGTGCATTCAGATGTTTTTGTACAGTTGAGCTCAATTTATAAAGAAAGAGAAATGGAGCATGTTGGTTGAAGACTTTTTAGTATGGCAGATGCATTAAGGGACAAAGAGCACATAAGCGGGTGTTTGCGTGTTCTGTGCCCCTTCTTGCGTTCGTCAAACTCCAGTTCGGAGCTCAATTTGTGCGACTTGCAATTTACAGAGCTATTGATTTCTTTTTTGCTGTACAGATTTTAATGTCGTGCTGCATACTAATTTTTTTTTTTTGCATCCAACAAGAAAGGTTAATTGTACAGTGGAAAGGGTGACTGCCTAATTAGTGCCCATTGATAAAGAATTGGGAAGGGAGGGGCTTCATGCATTACCTTGTGCAAGCTTTCAGTTGCCTTTGTACACCTAGCAACTGGTGTGGTTAGGCCATGGTAAGAGTGATATTTTTCGAGTGACATGGTGCCAACTGTCCTCAAGATCATTTGTGTTGCTCAATGGTGCACCCAAGAAAAATGTACTTGCAGTGTTTTTGTGACTCGGGTATACCCCTCGGAGACAGAAAACTGTCCTTGCCAATGGGTTGCGGCCTTGCACTAGAAAACAGTAAACAGTAGATTAATTTTTGATGCCACCACGAACCATCAAAGCGACGCCTAGTTATATTACTCTACCATCAAGCGCCTAGTGCCGACCCGACTGTCCAGCGGTGCAGGCAGCCATTACGAAAACGCATCCTCCAGAAGCTTCGAAGCATCGAGGCATTGCTGTGTACGTTGCTAGTCCACTCAGATTTGAGGCCATCGTGTAATTGCCGACTTTCCGGTTATCCATATTAGCAATAGGGGATGTTCGCATGTGCAAATGTGTCTGACCCAGAGTTATCTTAACCTTGTCATCTAGTGTATGAATGTCTTTCCCTAATTTTTTTTTTTAAAACATTTACATGTTTCTTGTTTTGCTTTAGATTCATTGTCACAATTCATTGTCACATCACCCCCATCTTTTATGGTCCGATGCATTGTAACTGTTTCGCGGCACTAGCTCAGATTATCAGCAACACTGCTTGAATCTCGGAGGCACGTTGAGAACCCTTCCACTGCGTGAGAGTTGGTTGGCTATGTAGCATGTTATGCTGGAGACATGGTTGACCTGGACTACATGCTGTACAGGATGCTTAGCTTGATCTAGGAGCTGTTACAGGTCCATTTGCAGCTAAATTTTTATATAGTGCCACAAGACTGTTTTCTCTTCCCGAAGTGCTACAGTTTAATCCCGCATAGCGTATATATTTTTAATAAGGAATCTATGACATGACAATAATATATGCATATATTGATATTTTACAGAGGAAGCAATAACTGTTTTAAGACTGGCAGCCCATAGATCGCGTGTCCACATCTCCCGTCGAGTCCTCAATGCTCAGGTCAATTGAAATGGCGCTGAATGTTCTTGTGGAATGTTTTTGTTTTGAAACTACCAAAGATGGTGCGAACGATTTGTTTTGTTTTTCTCTCGGCCTGCGGTCGTGGGAACCACGGGCAGGCCAGTCATTCTCATTGTGTTGTCTCGAGAAATGGTTTTTGTTATAGGTTCTTATTTATTTGCTTCAGCTTTGTCTTGTTTTTGGTGGAACAAATCCAGTGCGTTGGCGTTTTGTTTATTAGTTTTGGTCGTCGTCTTTCATGCTGCATTTAAACACCACGAGATTCATTCTGACAGTGTGCCTGCTTCACTGCTTTTAATTGAGAGACCACGTAATATTTTTATACATGCACACATGTATGGCTTCTTGGAATTCCAAATAAAGCTTGTGCGAATCTGCCATGGCTGTCTCTGCATGCTCATGTCACCGCCGTGTCCCTGGTCTTGTGCCACGGATGGTCGGCCTTGAAACTACTATATGCTCGTTCTGCTCCTATTCCCGATTTTCCTATATCCTCAAGGCGTTGCCGCTCAGATCGGTCCAAGGTGCCAGTGAACCAATCCAGTTTGGCAAGTTTTTATATACAAGTATCTGGTGCCACTCAGTGCTAGACCTGTGAAAATCAAACTGCTTGATAATGATGTCATGCAACAGATATACCAAATATATAGCTTGCACTGACGTTACTTGGTCAGACATAATGACGGAAGGGTGGGAGAGAGGTAGCCTCCACCGCTTTAACGAGACTTTTCGTTTCTAACCATTATTAGAAAGGGTTAAACTGATGTCACGTGCAAGCGTTCAGTCAGTGCCTGAATTTAAGCGTTTCCACCTGCTTGATCAGGTCACGTGGTTTATAGAATGTGGCGGAAACGTCTATCGTCTCTATGCTTTGCTCACTCGGCTTGAATGCCCAATATTCTGCTTGCTGCACGGCAAAACACGCATGCACTCGAGCTACCATAGTCAGTGACAGCTAAAGGGCTCAGGGGAAACTCGTCCCACTCTTTCCACTTTAGCAGAGCGCATGTTGGAGAGGAGGTGGTCTCCTCTCCACTCTTCACTCTGCTGAAATGGAAGGAGGTGGGTGGAGCTTCCATGTAAGAAACTCTCAGTGGTTTGAGTTGCTCCCCCTCTTAAATGTAAGCTCCCTAGCCACACAGTGGGTTTGTGGCGCCATCTGGGAAAGAGGTGGATGGAGCGGATGGTTTGAGCCAGGTTTGAGCTCCCTTTTTGCTTGTGCCGCCGAGATGTGCCCCCATTTTACGAACGCAGTGGGTTTGTGGCGTCATCTGGTGAGGACTCGTGAGAGCTCGCGCAGTGGGTTGGTGGCGCCATCTCGTAAGGCCCGCTTCAGACGGTATCCAAGCGTGCGAAGGCACACAGACGCAGCACTTCGGCTTTCGGCGTGCTGCGTTGAGATGTAAGCGGTTAAAAAAAAAATTAAAAATTTTGAAAGAGAAAAGGTCTTTTTTTGTTTCTCGGTTTTTTCAACCCCCCCCCCCCCCCCCCCAAAAAAAAAAAAAAAAAAAAACAGCTTACAATTTGTGAAACGGTGCACCCGCGCGCCGGCGCAATATTGGCGGGCGACAGTGGCAGTTTGATACCTTAAACCCATGTTACAAAAAAAAAAAAAAAAAAAAAAAAAAAAAAACAGGACGCGGGATGGTTAAACAAACATGCTTTTCGTGCAAGGCTCGTCAAATTATGAGGCGCTGGAGAAATGCAGCATTCTGCGTTAAATTTCCAACTCTTTTTGTTCGCCTTCCGCCCATTGAGAAGTATGCGGGAGGAGCCTTAGAACGCACTTAGTATCGCTACGCCGCAGCGTTCTTCAAAAAAAAATTGGGTTGTGTGAGTGTTTATACAGCCTAGAACTTGGTCTGCCTCACAGGGGCGACGAGTCTCCCAGCTGTAGATGAGAAATTTAGCCAGTGCTTCCGCAACGTAAAGTTCGTCTGCTTTCCTCGCCGTCACCATGGCAACGAACGCCGAATGAATAGAAGCACGCACGGTACTGCCGCGTGAAGCCAGCAAAAGCTGACGCCATTTTACGAACGCCGTCTGCTAGCCAAAGCCGAACGCGGTTTGTCAGATCAACCGCCTCCGCCGGTGCGCCGCTAGTAAGGACTTAACGCAGAATGCTACATTTCTCCAGCGCCTCATAATTTGACGAGCCTTGCACGAAAAGCATGTTTGTTTGGCCATCCCGCGTCCTGTTTTTTTTTATCCGTACCATGGGTCTGAAGCATCAAACTGCCGCGCCGGCTGCGGCCACCTCTCGCGGGATGTCGGGAAACTTCTAACGTCACAGAATACCCAGAATACAGAACCTGCAAGGAATTTCGTCAAAAGGAGTTTGGGAGTCTGCGAAGCACCTGGATCCATCCACCTGGGCCCGTTTTCTCGAACGCGAACCGTGGGTTAAAGTTAACTATTGTCCCTAGAAGGGGGAATTCTAGGTCACGTGATTGGGAGAGCAGGGGCGCCGATGGAGGAGCAGTATACCTACAACCGAAATGGCCGCGACGTCGCTGATTGAGGGCTAATAGTTCTGCTTGGTTCTGCTCAACGTTACTAAAACACTCAGTTGGGAAACTCCCATGGAGGCAGCTTTCAAAAAATGTCCCCAATCTGTCTCCGAACACCGAGCTAATGACGAACACAACGCCACCATTTCTCCCGCAGCGGCCACTCGAGGAACTGCACGTGACTTCTATTATGGCTTTAAGAACAGATACAGCGGTAGAGGTTAAAGGGGTGCCACACCCGTCTCCCCAGCGGACACACCGCGTTAAACTACCGAAGTTAAAATACACCTAGGTCGGGACGCTCTACCTGAAAGGCCCGCTGAGGCATGGTTGTATAAAAACGATATTAATTGTTCCGCAAAACCTTGCGAACTAAAGATGATAAAAACATCACGCCCCCATCATTTGGCACTAAACTCCAATAAATTTCATACAAAAAGAGTCTTTTCCGTTTGCTTTTACGCAAAAAACAGGCTTTCAAAAAGCTCAAGGTGACCACGTACGGACAAACGAAAAAGAGTGGCGCTGTTGTGGCATTTAGCTCGGTCTCGGTGGACGCCAGCGGCCCAGGTTTCGACGGCGAGTTTCCCAACTGAGTGTTTTAGTAACGTTGGTTCTGCTGAACATTCATTTCGATCCGGCTGTCATATTAATGACGCACCATCAACCTATTAGCACATCAAGCAAAGCGGTAGTTCAGAGGGACTTCTAAACTAACCGACGGCAGCATTCCGCGAAAGCATCACTCTTCAGCAGTCCGAGATCCAAGACATATGACAGTACATAAGCCTTGCAAGTGTTTTTATGGTGAGTAAAAAAATCTTTTGCGAACGAGTGTTGGTATATATTTATACTAACACGTTAAATTTGTTACACTATGCACGCCAACTCGTAAGCAGCGATTACTTTGCGGAGAAAGGGGGTTATCCTCGATAAAGTCTTTGTTCAGGGTGAACAGCTTGGACATTGTACTGTTTTTTTGTTCGCAGTGCGCCGACAATATGCCGACAGCATCGAGGTTTCTACATATCCCCGGTGGCCAGCGATTCAACGTTGACAAGAAGCTTAGCTTCTCGTCACCGGTGGATCGGTTGGGCCAACGGAAGAAAGGGCAAACAGTTGAGATCAGCAGGAATCGCAGAAACGTGCGTCGCAAGGAACAAAAACGAGACCACAGCACCGGCGTTGCCAGACTGGAAGGCACACGGGAAAGTTATGCGTTGTTTATGGTGAAACATATTGAAGGAAATGTTTCTTACATATTTGAATATTCGTCGACAAACTCTAGCATAGCAGCTAAAATTTCTTCGTACCATCTGAATCAAATAAATTGGTCTTCAAGTACAACATTACTATATTTTGACTTAAAATACCATACTAGATCGATAACAACCAGTGGAAAAAGAGGATAAACAAAGTGACTGGCTTGTTTCACCGATAGATGGCGCACCTTACTGCCCAATCAAAAATAATTATTGTTGTTTTATATCCAGCCGTTTATTACAGTACCTAGGTACTTTTTTCCTTCCTAGACACCGTGGTTTACCAAAATGGGTTTACCATCGCTTCGAGAAAACCGGCCCTGGTGGCAAGGACCTTGCTTCAATCAACCCTTGAGTGCCCTCGTCTCTCGCGTACTGCAGATTCCCCCTTCTTCTGCGCCAAGTGAAAGAAACTGGTCCGAGTTTGGAAATGTCCAGATCAAGCTACGCTACAGGCTCGCAGGGGATGGTGTGCAAAAACTTGTGTGCGTGCGCCCCAAACTGAATGTCTGGACGGCTTCGTCCGCTGCACCGCGAAGCATTGACGCGTCAAGCGGGAATGAATAAGAATTATTGGACGCGGATTGATATAAATGCCAGTCTTAACGCTTTGATGTGAAATCAATGCCTTGACGTGAAATTGTACCTAGATTTAGAAACCGCGGAAGCTGTGCTGTTGTCTGTGACTTTTGTGGGGCAGTAATGTAAGAATCGAATTCTTTTCAGTGTTAACGAAATAAATTATAAGGTTTTTGATAGCTCTGTGCGCAATCGTCTTTTTTTTTTGTTATTTTTCGTATTTTCTGAAAAAAACAAAACAAACAAACATGGAAAAAACCTGTTTTTTTCACGTCTCAAAATTTCATGAAATTTTACATCTCTAGTGCTACGTAGAGTCACTTTATGGGTTCCCAGAGTAATGCATCTCTTTTTGCGTTTTGCTGACAACGTACTCACCTAGCCGTTCATGTTTTGGCCTGATGAGCATCATTGGACGGTAGCGATCGCATGACACAAGCACCTCTAGACTCACCTCCATCAGCGCTTCAAGTGGCTCCAATCACCACCAGTGGCGCAGGCAAGTGGGGGGGTTCGGAAGGTCGAACCCCCCTTCCCCCCCCCCCCCCCTCCCCCCCTTCCTGTGTTGCTGTTTAATGTTTTGTTTTGTCTGGCCGGAACTCGTTGGTAACGCAGTGCTACCTCAAAAAGCGGAGGGAGTTGTGTGCTGTGAGGAAGCTTTTAAAGTTGGTGGGTCGCAACTACGACGACAGTAGAACAGGGAGCCCAAATGAAGCCTGCAATGTTTTAAAAGATAACAATGCAGCTTCGCCCGTTTTATCTTCAAGGGCAACTCCGGTCCATACTTTTGATTTTGGGATTATGACTGTTTTTGGTACAGTCAGCGTGCCTGAATTGCAAGGTGTAGTTTTTTTCTCGTTATTGTGCGTAGTTTTAAAGATATCGACGCCTGAAAGTTTTGTTTGGGGCGCGGCCAACAAAAACGAAACTAGCCGCTCGAGGCCCCGGCACACTGGAAATCAGTGAACGTGACGTCAGGATCGTTCTCGTTCAACGAGTACGCAGGCCGAGCGCCACCTACCTCTGTTG